ATCAAGCATGTTGTCTATCTCATTAACCATTTTCTATCTCCTATCATCCAAAATAAAACACCTTTTGAATTATTACACAAATAAACACCAAATTTTTCAATGCTCAAGGTCTTTGGTTGTCTATGTTATGTCTCCACATATTCTTCTTGTTAAAAATTGATACTTATTCACACTGAGGAGCATTTTTGGGTTTTTAAATGAGGACAAAAGGATACATTATTCTTGATTTAAAAATAAAAGAATTTTTCTCTTTTGTGATGTCTTTTTCCATAAAATGGTCTTCTCTTTTTCACAACTAAATTCTTTTGAAAACACTAATCCTTCTCACCCAATTAGCTCACCTTTACCATCACACCCACAATCCAATTTAGCCCATCACTCTCTGAAAGTTTTCTCTTTGAACTTAATAACCAAGACTCCCTCAAATCTTCCCAACATCATGGGCTCATCTCACATGATCCACCTCTCACAAATTCAAATGAAACACAACCAAATTTGGACTCAAAATCTTCTCACAGTAACCTACTCAAGATGCCCTAATTTACTTTGACATCATCACTATCTTCATCCCCATCTGAAGCTTCACCTCTCTGATTCTCAACTTGGGTTATTGCCTGTTGTGCTTACCTCTTTGATTACACATGCAACACTTGTTCAACATTACCAAACTAGTCATTCACAAAGTGCTCCTATCCTGTTCAATCGATTCTCGATTATTCTTAACTGTCTTCTTCTCATCGTCATTACCTGATGTGCTTGTCTTCTAAGCTTGAATCCACTAGCTATCAGGAACTCATCAAATATAGTTGCTGACAAAACAACATGAAAGCAAAATACAGGCCCTGGTCTTAAATAAAAACATGGGACATTGTTGATACTCTCTTGAATGTCAAATTCATTGGTTGGAAATGAGTGTATAAAATCAAACAAAGACCTAATGGAATATTGGAATGCTACAAAGCTTGAACTGTAGAAATTTTTTTTATCAAATTAAGGGGAGTTATTTTGAAACTTTCTCCCCTATTATAAAGATGGTCACAATCCGTGTTTGTTCTTGCTCTAGCTTTGTTCAATCGTTAGCAACTGTAACAACTTGATGTTAGCAACGCTTTCCTACAAGGGGGACCTTTATACATGACCATCCCTCATGGTGTTATTGGTCATAGTCCATCATAATGTTGCAAGCTTCAAAAGTCTTTGTATAATAAAAAAAATAATTTAGCCATAAATGGTATGAAAAATGATATGTGTTGCTATTATTTGATGGGTATTAACAGGCCTATGTTTATCTATAAATGTTACTAATAATGAAATCATTGCTTTGATTGTTTATATTAATGATACTATATTGAATGGAAATTCTGTCTCTAAAATTACAAATGTCAAACACATTCTTCATAAACATTTTCATATTAAGGATCTTCAGCTATTGAAATATTTTTTAGGGATAGAAGTTGCTCATTCAGATGCAAGATTTTTATTATGTCTGCAAAAATATTGTTTAGATTTGCTTGCTAATTTAGGAATGATGGGCTCTAAGCCATCATCCACACCTATGGACAACTCTCTGTGCTTGCATCATGACTCAAGTACACCTCTTGCTAATCTTGTGTCATATAGACACTTGGTTGGTCGATAGGTATACCTCACTAGTACCTGTCCTAACATTATTTTTTCCACTTAGCAACTTAGCCAATTTATGGCCAAACCCACTCAAGCTCATCTTTGCACTGTAATGAAGGTTATTTGGTGTCTCAAAGGTTGTCCTGGTAAGGGATTACTCTTTGATGCTAATTGAGCCACATGTGTTGATTAATGTTGATCTATCACTAATTACTATTTCTTCATTGACAATTCTTTGATTTCTTGGAAGACCAAGAAACAAACCCTTTCTTAGTCCTCTTTTGAAGTCAAGAATTATGCACTTGCCTTTGCTACATGTGCAATGACTCTCACACTTGCTTAGTGACTTGCATATTTCTTGTTCTAAATAAGTTGTACTCAAAGTGGGTTTCATATTGTTATAAACTCAATTTTTCATGAACATATCAAACATTTAGAGATTGATTGTTATCTTGTTTGAAAAAAGTCTCAAGTTGGTCTAGTGCACTTGCCCCATATCTTTTTTTCACACTAACTTGCTGATATATTTACCAAAGCTCCCTTTCCATGGTTGTTTTTCTCCAATATATCTAAGCTGAAGTTAATTGACATTTTCCTACTGCCAACTTGAGGGGAAGGGGGAGGTACAAGAAGACAAGTCCAATCGGCCATCATAGTAATTGTACAACAACGTACAATTTTACAATAATGAAATAGACTAGAAATGACCAATAAATATATGTTTGGTTCTAGAATATGTTGATCTATATATTTTTTATTTTCTATTTTCTCTATTTTATCTTTTGTTCTTATCCTTTTAGGTCACAACTTTATATATAAATGTATTCATTGAATTCATCAATACATAGTGAATATTCTTACAACCATTGGCTTCATACTATATTAGCCTTTGTCTCATTCCTTTTTACTAAGTTTATTGAATGACATGCTACTAGAGGGTAACATTCTTCCTTGAAGAACACATGTTGCTAAACAAATACTTGCTTTCATTGGATTGACCCATAAGAAGATACATGTTTGTCTTAACAACTGTATTTTGTTTCAAAATGGTTATACATAACTAAGATAATGCCTAAAGTGTAATGTGTCACACTACCTATAGAAAGAATCTACACCAATGAAGGTGATATTGTATTTTCCAGTATACTGAGATTAATGCTCATGTTTCACATTGCATAAAATGAAAAACATTTGACATGGCATGTGAAAGGAATGAATCGAGATGAGAAGCTTAGGCGTCCAATAGATTCTCCTTAGTAAAAGAATCTGATGATGAATATGAAAAATTTGCAATAGAAACAAAAAAATGTACTTTTTTCTTTAAGAACCAATGGAATGAATCCCTATGGGATGCAAAGTAGCACTCATATTAAATGACTTGTGACTTTAATAATTTATAACTTATCTTCATGGCTTTGCATGAAGAGAAAATATATGATGCTTTGATTGTTGATATGTGGTCCCAAACAACTTAGAAATAACATTAATGTATATTTATCTCTTTTAGTTGAAGATTTGAAGTTCTTATGAAAAATTGACATATAAGTATATGATGAGTTCAAGGAAGAAATTTTCACATTAAAGACAATATTATATGGTATAATTAATGATTTTTTAGCATATGACAATTTATTGAGATATAACATACAAGAATAATGTGCATGTCTGAAATGTTGTGAAAAATATATTATATTAGATTAGAATATTGTCAAAAGAATGTTATTCTTTTAGAAGTATGAAAAGAGCTTTTAATGAAAGTTCTGAAGAGCGATGATGTCTTTATTTGAAAAAATAAGATTAGATCATTGAAGAGGTTAAGCATATCATAACAAAATTGTGTGAAAATTATGAGATTAGATCTTTGGTAAACCATTTGTCAAAAACTTCCAAATGAAATGTATTTTCTACCTTTTTTTTTCTTTAATGTCACGGTTCATTCACCCATTTATTTAAGAAAACAAAATTGCATGGATGTATCTTATTGAATTATATATAAAGATTTTAAAAAGATATATAAAGAATAGAAGTTAACTAGAGTGGTATATTACTAAAAGATATTTAATCAAATAAATTGTTGAATTTTACAATAAATACTTGTCAAATATAAAATTAATAATATGATGAGAGACATAACCTGTCCAATAACTTTTTCACTTAAGGTTGCAGGGTCATACTCATGCCAAAATTGTAAAGAAATTAGACATAATAAAATTATTCAAGACTAATAGACACAAGATAGGTTTTGTTTTTGTAAGGTGCAAAACTTAAAATAAAGTAAAAAAAAAATTAAATAGAGAAATAATCTATAAAAAATAGTTTCCATACTAATATTATTTATTAAAAGAGAAAAAAAAACTATTCCCAAAATAAAAACAGATCTAGAATTTATCACGACAAAAAAATTATGAGAAAAAAATATAAAAATTTACTATATAAAATGAAGAGATAAGTTTTCTTTATAAATAAAGAGAAAATAATAATATGATAAGAGAATACACTAAAAGACACACTTTTTTCTTTACAAAATTAGAATATAATTGTTGATGCAGAAGGTGTGAATTTATATGCAAAACTCCAACACTACAGCCTCTAATTCTATCCTCAGAATTGTAATTTTTTTTTTCTTTCACTTTTTCAACTTTTGATGGTAGCAGAAATATAAGAATTGTGCACCATCAACTCAATCGTAAATTAAGTGAACTGAGGTCAAAGTTGTTTTTAATTAATTTAAATGTATTATCATTTAATCATAAATTATTGTATTAATAAAATATTTATGAAAATTAAACTCTTAAAAAACACTCAAAGAAGAATAGTTAGACATGTTACAAACTTAAAAGAAAAATGTTCTTCTGTAAAAGAGTAAAATCAATTAATATGTGAGTCAGTTGTTCGAATAAAAAAGAGGGAAGAGGGTAACAATACGCGTCAATAGCTAAATTCTCCTATGGTCAAGGTCAAGCAAGACCTGCATAACTGAACGACGAACATGTAGTGAAAGAGGCTTGTTAATGTTAATATTGCGGATGCAGTTTCAAAATCCCAACAACTAGTAATGGCAAATTTGTGAGACGATTCGGTGCACAGTTTACTGATAAGAACTGGGTTTCGTGTCATATAATGAAACATTGAAACGTGGAGTTTCTGATTTTTATAAAAATAATAATAATAAAAATAAAGATGATGAGTGTCCATTTTCGTAGACACGAAGGTACCTTAATTTATTTCTTCTGACTTTACTTTACTTAGCCAGAATCAGAAAGCAGAGGGTGAGTAAATAGTGATGTTGTCTTTACTCCAAAACCATTGACTATAAAAGAACGCAACACATTAAGCATAGCAACCATATCAGCATCAGCATCAGCATCAGCATCAGTATGGGTGGTGATTCCACTCTTTCTCATGGTAATTTGCCTTTCATGGGTTCTTTTCATTTTCCTTTCTCTTGCTCTCGCCAAAATCATTTTTTTTCCTTTGAATTCTATGAAGGAAACATGGATTTATTTTTGTTTGACCAAATTACCCCGCGTTCCAATGTTCAGGTATAGATGAAGAAGATTATTGCTTGGAGGAGAATTTTCCCTTGCTTTCTTCGCAATCCCCTTCTGCTCTCAGTCTCAGGTACTTTGTGATGGTTGCTATTATTCTTGTTTAAATTCCTTATTTTTCTTCGAGTTTGTTTAGATGCTGCTACAAATTTGGGATAAAATAGAAGGATGGGAATACTGTATGTGTTTGTTTGATTAGATTATAATGACGCCTAAAATTTACTATAATTGATGATTGGTTGTCTATTATAATTTATATTTAATTATGTAATTGTTTCTGTGTGTGTTTGTTTTTTTGTTTTTTAATATTTCTGCTAAGAAAAAGGCTATAAATGTATTATAGAAGAAGGTTTGAAGTTATGAGATGTGTAAAGTGCGGAAGTGTCCACTGTTGATTTGAATTAAAACATTTGTTACATATAATTAATTTTAAAATCGAAGGTAAATAAATGATCACTTTCTCACCTTACACATCTCTTCACTTTAAAGAAGCCAAAATCTACATTTTGTGCAAACAAACATTTGAACATATATTATGTTTACAAGGAAATCTCTTTTACTTATCAATGATGTCGTAAAATTTTGAAAGTATATAATTAAATTTTTTCAAGCAATTTTAGTGATTGGCTTTTCAATTTGTAAATGTTTGTTAGGACATAGGAGGGCAATTATAGGGTCACAAGAAAACATAGTGTCTGCATACCAGTCATTGACCAAGAGTCGCATTGATATATACAATATAAATGTCAATTTGGCATTTCAGGGAAAATTAGCAAAACTGAACTGTGCATCTTGGTTTGGTCGGTGCACTGAAGTTTTGTTTTAGGGTTAAAGTTGATTCCTTTACTTCTTTATCCTCTTTTGTAGTCACTTTTTGACATTAGTATTCTGACAGTGACACAGTCATGATTTTGTGATTTTTTAATGTTTCAGGGATAATCTGGATTTGCAGCATGAAGACAATAGAGCAGATGGGGAAAATGGGTTAATTTTTAGTGAAATTCTTGAAGAAAGTACACAGCTTTCTTCTAAATCTAATGTTGATTTTGAAGTCAATGAAAGGAAAAGGTCCAGTATCTACCAAGAAATCCTGCAAAGTTATGATGAATTGGAGATTCGTAGTGAGGATTTGAAAGAGGCAAAAGAAAACATCTTGAGGTGCTGATTTGAACTTATGTATACATCTTATGTACTTATCCATATATGTCTTATTGACAAGTCCTCAGGTTATTTTAAATTATTTTGAAATTGTTTAAACATTGAAAATTTGTTTCTTCGTCTTTGGAAATTGTTTTGAACCCTTGAAAAAGGAATGTAGGACGTTAGTCAAACGCATCCACTTCAGTTTAGTTGTCTTGTTTTATGTAAAATAAGCAGAGCAGCCACAATTTCTTTCACTATTTGCACGTTTGTTTGTGTAATCTAGGGGGTGGTCTGGTTCCTAATCATTGTCAACTAAATGACACTGAATTTTTCTCTGTTTTGTTCATGAAAACTATGTTGTAGGGAAAAAGAATTGAGAACAGTATCAAACAGATCGGGCCATAGATATTTGTTAGTTCTTGATATCTTATTTTTTGTTTCTACATGCAATGCCTATCTTCTTTCTTACCCTAATTTTCTCTGTTTCGCTTGATAAAAAATTGTAATTCTGAGGTTGTGATTGAAATTGATGTGCAGTTCATTCTAAAATTAACTTTTAGATGTTTGTGTGAGAGCATGCATAGTTGCAGACCAGAAGTAAGTTTATCATGAGTGTTGATTTGAATCCTCAAAAGATTTAAAATTGATTTTCATAGTGGTTTTATTGTCACAGCTATAAGCCTGGAGCATGGATTGAGAAGGTTGGTGGCTTAAAGTTAAGAGATTATGATGTACCAAAGACAACATGCCTCTTATTGGTTGGTCCTAGTGGATCTGGGAAAAGTAGTCTCATAAATAGGATCTCTAAGGTGTTTGAGAATGACAAATTTGCGCCAGCTAGAGCACAAGAATCATGTATAATTCTTTGCACTTCAATTTAGATGTCAATTTGAAAAATGAAGAAACAAAATCATTTCATTGTAATATATATCTTTGTACTTCATGGTAAATCACTGCTTATTCACCTAAGAAACTTCCAATTGTCTTTTGATTTCAGATAATTCACTTACAGGGGATGGAACATACTTCCTCCAGGAGTATATGATTCCAAGAGATTCAAATTCTATCTGTCTGTATGATACACGTAGTTTGGCAGATACCTCGCACCAGAATGAGAATATTAAAATGCTGAAGAGTTGGATGACCAAAGGTGTTCACCATGGAGAGCTTGTTGTCAGGTTTGAATATTTAATGTAGTTAACATTCCAAATTTACTCATATATTAATATTTACATCAAATTCTACAAATCTTTTATCAGGAAAACTGACAATCAGAAATTGAGGAAAAGTTTGAAGGGTAAAGCTCACAAGAAAGGTTATTTTTCCAGTATGACCAGAAAAGTTAATTTTGTAATTTATGTTGTTAATGGTCTTTTGGTTCTGAAAGCAATGGAGAATACCAGTGCTTTGGAGACACAGTACATTGAAACAATTGTTTCTACTTTCAATTGCCCATTCCTGTCATTCAAAGGTATTTGCATGACTAGCTCATGTGTTTTTTCCTTTAATGAAAGTGAGTGTTTGAGCATTTGAATAATATTCAATAATATCTAAATTGTATCTTAGAATAATTTAGAGTATCTTAGATTATCTCATGGGACTAGTTTCTACATTTTCTTATCTCAATTAATTTCCTTGTTTAGTTAGGATTATGATATAGTATAAATACAGGTTAATGCTTTATGATTTTATCATATTGTAGTACATCATATTAGATCAAGCCAATACTAATTTCAGTGTATTTAGTTTCTTTTATATCCTTTTCCACCCTCTATACCTAATTGATAAAGACGGTTGCTTTCCTATACCTGTCTCTCCTAGGTTATAGGCATTTTTGGCAATACATTCTCTCTGCTTTAATTTTTATTTATATTTTTTGGGGGAAGGGTTTTAAGGGAAGGAGCACGTGACACTTATATGATAAGCCATATAAAGCTTGGCCTTGTAGCTAAACTTTCTTGCATCCAAGGGTTGAGGCTAAATACCATGATTACCTGATCCTATGTCCTTTATAAAACAAATTATCTGTGCGTAAGTCATATATTACTTTTATCTTGTGTCTTGATCTGTTATATATCTGGCCTGAGCTTAGATCCAAACCTCTAGTTTGAAAGGTGATTTCTAACGCAATGTGGTATGCTTATGAGTGCATTCAAATCAATAAATATTGCCAGTTAAGAAAATATAAATTTACCTAGGTTTCACCAATGAAGTTCCACCTTGACAAGAAGGAAAACCACAAATGCAACATAATGTTGTTTAAACTTTCATAATTGAATATTTTCCATATGAAAAATGCATAACTTTCTCTTTTTCATCTTTCTTTTACCCCATGAAATCTTGGGCAGTAGGCACAAATGCATAGTAGTCTGCTGTTCTGATTATTTTCTACATCCTGAATATTTCAGACATCTTTTAGTCCCATATAAACTCTTTGTGAAAGTGGTTGATAGTTTGGGGAGTTATGTCCTTGCACTTGTTTGGTTTTCTCTTTTAGGTTTTATTTTATTTTGAGATAATTAAGATGCTATGCTTCTAAAGTAAATTAAGTTTTAATCTGTATGATGCAATTGCATGCAGATTCAGAGATTTGCATTACCCTCTGCCTTAGGCTGTTGGAGTTTGATAGAAGATGCACACAATTTCATGTCTGTCTTGCTTGAGGAATGTGAAAGAGGAAATATTCACTAACATACAACTGAGTGCTCACACGGCTAGACTGCTGGAGAAGAGAGAAGATAAGATAAGAGTGGATGTTTGTGGCCTAGATTAAATGTGATAGGTTAGGAAGAGAGGGGCAGGCACAAATTGAGTGGGAGCTGGGACCTTTGAACAGGGGAGACACAAGACCTGGCATAGAGCCTTCTCTTTTATTTCCCTTTTTTCCATTTCCTTTCTTTACAAGAGTTACACTGTAAATACAAGCTCTCTGTTATTGATATCAATTTATATCAATAGCAGAAACTGAATTCTGGTGTGAATACAATTAAGATTTTCAGCTCTAGTTTCCAGTTTCTATCACATGGAAGATAGTCCTAGTATTATAAAACTTAGACAATTGTGAACTAAACATTGTGATTACTTTTTATTTCCATCTAACTTATTCCAGTTGTTTAAATCATTAAATGTCTTGTCCTGTAAAATAGTGTCTAAAACTTGGAAGGCTTTCAATGCTTTTGTTTATTCCCATTAATAATAAATAGTGCAATTTAAATAGGCAATTCCAGTAGATATTCAAGAGTCACTTGTTCTACATGGTTACATTTTAAAATTTGTGCTTTGTGTTGTCTGAACATTTATGAAAGACTATCTTTTAGTCAGTAGATTCTGTTCAATATTGTTTGGGTTCAAAGTTCTCTGCAATGCTGGTGTAGTAGCTTGTGCATAATGCATTGTGTAAATTGAGGGCGTCATACTGTTTACTTTTGATGTTAGTTGAAAATATTGTGCATATCGCTCCATCATTCATCTTATATACTTTGTGGACCAAATTACTATTCTCTGTAGTCAATCTAATAGTTTATTTCTAATACTTGCAGATGACAAGCCTGTACTTGTTTTCACTCATGGAGATCTCCTTTCATTCTCTGACCGTGCTCGTGTCCATGCACATTTGGGAAAGTTATTGGGAATTCCACCAACAAAGCAAATTTTTGACATCCCGGGCAGGCTTTCTAGTTTTACCTTGATACCTTTCCTTTCATTAAATTTCTTTGATGTCAATAAGTTTACAGAACAATTTCTTATCTATGCTGCAGATTGTGACTGTCCAGTGACTGAGTCTGCCATAATTGGAATGTTACGATATAGTCTCGAGCATGCTGACAGAAATTTTCCTCAGAAAAACAAGGTTATGGATAAGGTTAAGTGTTATTTCTCCCAAATCTAATATAAAAGTTATGAACAGTTAGTTTTGTTTTTTAATATGGTTCTAGTTTTCTTACCATGATTCCAGCTCGCATTTTACAGCTTCTGAAGTTGATATAATTGGATAACACCCGCTGTAGATGTTGTCATTCAGTGTACTTTAGGAATCCATGCTGCTATTGTTTTCTAATGATTTTGTGGGATATTTTAGTCTTTATTTACCGTGGTATTGTTTCTTAAAATGCATTTATGACTAATCTCACATTTACACAAGAAAGTATTAAATGCTTTATTTTGCCAAATGCTAACCAATGTTGTGAGGGCGTTCAGGAATCAGAACTAAAAATATTTTATTAAAAAATGTTATTAATACATCTCTTACCGATTTTCAGTGCATCTCAGCGTAATTTCTAGAGAAAAGTTTTCACTTTTGATCCCTTAATCAGTGCCCTTGGGGCATTACTGCACTGGTTAGCAAGACCGTTTATTTTTAGGTTTTTAAGATATTAAATGCCTATGTTTTTCATTTAATAGTTTCTATATTTTTTTTCTCAGACTTTCTTAAGGGCACCAATAAAAAGAAAGCTCTTATTCTGAAATAACTACATGAATACAGTAGACAATAGGAATTTGCTGATGGTTTGCCAATTTTTCATCATCCTTGCATGTTATGTTGTTAAGATTTTGCAGTCTGCCAATGCCAAAAGAACCTCTATCAAGTTTACTAACTGGTCTTGCTTGCAGGTTCATAAAATATCTTTATCACTATGCATGATTTTGCTGATTCTAGGAATAGGAGTTGCTATTGGCATGACACAAAATAAGTTCATACACCAGCCTCATGCCCCTCAACAGCAAGCTCGTGGTAGAAAAGTTCATGCCACAAGTTCAAAGGTGAAAATTAAGCAACCCAAAATCGAGTGGCATAAAATTCGGCACATATGGTAGCTGTAAATAGTGTTGACATGCCTTGTAAATAATAATGGTTATGTAGTATATAATGGAGCTTGAAGAAAAGAGTTGTAATTTGGAAGTTCGTGGTTTCCATTTAATTGGCGACACTGTGTATGTGTGATCAATTGTTTTTGGTCTTGCAATGTTAATTTTATGATAGCAGAAAATAAAACTTGAGAAAGAGAAACTTAAAGGCTTTTGCAAGAAAATTGTAAATTTTCTATTAAAATTACAAGAAAGGAGTACTATATATACAACATACTATGCATCACTATTCCTAACCGAATTTGTTATATGGAATCAAGAGAACCAATACTACCTATAGGTTGTACAAGAAAATCAATAAAATGAAAAAAAATAAAAATTATACAGCTCAGTAAAAAAATAACCAACTAATGATTATCTTTATTCTAGAAGATGTGTATCTAGGTCCTTATTCTTTAATAGTAATATGTGCGTGAAATTCAATGCAAAACAATATTTTGAAAAAGGACAAATGTTAACAAGTATTTGAAGCACTAATTCAGGAAATAAAAATAAAAAAATATCTCATAAAAATAAAAAATATTTATCGTATTAAAGTACAAAAGGCATTTAACACTTGTTTGTTTTTTTAAATAATTCGAAGCATTATTAGTAGTATGAGCTTTACAAAAAATTGATTTCATCAACAGCAATGTTATAAGGTTAAGGAAAATAATATAATATTAAACAAATATTTATTATATTAAAAATACAAAGCTATTTATTCTTTTCTTTAAAAAAAAATATTTCACCTTTTGCTCCTTCAAAATGAGCCGATTCTTCGTGATAGGAAAATTGTTTTATCATAGGGACAATCTAACAGTAGCTATTGTTGAAGATCTCTGCTTGCAGTCATGTTTCCCTAGCTTTTCTCATCATGATTTAACGAAGTGACGCCATTCACATAACCATGATCAGTTCAATACATCTACCTGACCTATTGGTGATCTCCATTCCACCACTGGAATACCATAGCAAAATTTGTGAACCTTCATTTATGGAAATCAAAATTTATAACAATCATTCTATAACATCAATATAAACTTTCAGGGTAGACTAACATCAATAACATCCTAGGAGCAGGGTCTGCAGTATATAAATCTGGGCGAATTGCCTCAATTTTTCTCAAGGGATTCATGGTATAATAATGACAATGTAAAAGACTTAAGAAGACAGAATGATCAAGATCAGACTGTCACTTGAGAGACTATTTCTGGCTGTAAATCTGTGTAACTGAAACAAAATTTGAGAAACTTTAAAACTTCATGAGATTATCCATGAAAGGATATCTTCTGAATTAATACATGCTTAGGCTGCTGAATTGCTGACAGCGAAGTTTGAAAAAAGAATGATTGGAACTACTAAATTATTTCAAGCTCAAGCAAAAATCATTGCTCTCCAGAAGATGTAGGACTAGGAATGCTCTGCAAGAACAAAGCCCTTGTAGCAAGGTCGGTTGAAAAACGTCCCAACACCGCAATCGTAGCTGTATTACTTCCAAACTTTTCAATTCCCCTGGAAATCATACATGTGTGGCTTGCCTCTACAACTACTATCACATCTCCACCTAACAGTGGGGAAATGATTTCAGCTATCTGCCTGGTAAGCCTTTCCTGAACTTGGAGCTTGAAACCATAAAAGTGTACTATTGATTGTAGAAGTGATTTTCCAATAGGATTGAATCCGTCGGATATGAGGTATCCTATGTGAACGACACCATGAAATGGAAGCAAATGATGCTCACATTGTGACCAAAAGGGTATGTTTAATTCAGAGTACATCTTTTTGTTGCTGATGTTAACCTCCTCATTGACATTCAAAGAATCTATCCCACCACAAAGAAAACCATTCAGCTTCATATCAAAGTTACTGTATTGAAAGTTCATCAACCATTTCACAAATCTACTTGGAGTCCCCGTAAGCTCCTTCCTCAGTGGATCTTCTCCCAAAGATTTGATAATTGAAGCTACTGCAGTGACCATTATAGGATTGACTGGTCCAATTTTGGAGGAAACTTTGGTAGAAAGAGAAGATTGAGAAGGACACCAGCATGGGTCAGATGATCCTCTAAAATGAATTTTATCCATATTGATGCCTCTAAATTTAAGAAGACTAAAGAAATCAGACCATATATCTGCATTTTCATTCTCAAAAACCCCAGAACCTGAGGAAATAAGTATCTTCACCGATCCTTGGTGATTTGAGTCAAGAAAGACTGATTCTATGTCAGGAAAGTGGATGTGTGTACATTGAAGTATGATAGCAACACCTGCTGGTTTTATTCCCTGATGCAAAGCAGAACAAATCTCATCTGCAAGACGCTGAGGCTCTTGCAATCGTTTTGCAAATACATCAGCAACTCGAGAGAGCTTGCTTAAACCGACAACTCTTTCACCAGAGGGGACATAGCCCACATGACATTTGACCTGGAACGGAAGCAAGCAGGATTCACAATAGGAAAACATATCAAGATCCCGAACAATCACAAGTCCGCCTGCTCCACCTGCTTGACCAACTCTATTATCTAGACCAGCTTCAGGGAATAAAGCACCTTGAACAATATCCTTCACTTTTTGTCTGTAACCTGGAAGAAACAGAGATCTACATATGATTAGTAACAGTACTAGTCAAGAAAATATGATTGTTCTGAATTTAATATAATGCTACAGGGACATACACATGTAGGAAACATATAGACAAATGTAACACAAAGAACCGAACCAAAACTGGAGGAAGAAACACACTTCTCATTTACAGCAAGTGTACCAAGGTCAGTACTTCATTATGGAATAGAACCATTATACTTGGGTAATTATGTAATGCAGAAAAAATTGAAACCAGATGCCAAGCCCCAGAGAAATGCAAAAGCTAACAAAAAGAAAAAAAATGCATCCAGCCATCTAGCAACTGCCTCCTATTGGATTCAAACACGTTTTTTACCCGATATTAGTCCCTCAAAACTGATAGAGTGATGGACAAATGAATAGTCTCCAGGAAAAACACATGTAGACCAGTACTTTGTGGTGCAACATCTTGATTTATGGATGAATAATATAATGATTATCTCTTTGGTAATTCTACCTTAAGAAAAAGAATGACCATAAGCAATTTACTTTCAAACTTGAAAATGATAATATTGGATACCAAACCAAGGCCATCAAATTTACAGAAGCACATAAACACAGAAAGGAGACCAAACTGAGGCAAAATGTAATTGACAAAGAAGAAAAAAAAAAAAGAATTCATGTAATTCAACAACTTTACAAAGAACATTAAGTCAAATACTATGTTGCAGTGAAGAGACTGGCTTAACACATCAACATTTTCCAATAAACTATTTATCGTCCCTCTCCAAATTGTTGGATGGTCTAGCCATGTGTGACGCTAGAAATGTTAAAGCAAGGTAGAAAGGCAATATCCAAAACCAACCAATATCTTCTCCACAACATGCAACTGAGATCAAATATATTCCTTGTTGGTTAAGCACTTTAGATTTTCCAAAACAAGATCCAAACCAACCTAGAGTGGTGATGCACCAGGCAGTAACAGCAGACAAAAAAATTAAAGAAATTAAAAATTAACTATGGTTTTCTATTTCCATAAAGGAAATATTAAGTTGGAATTAGCTGAGAGGGTGAATTAGAGGGCGTTTGGAAGAATTTATAGACAACCAATAAAAATAACGATTCTCATATGCTCTTTTTAGCTTATTTCTATAAGCTTATTGGTATAGCTTATCATAATAAGTTATTTTCAGCTTATTCCAATAAAATTCACCATCAAATGTACGTCATAAGCTTCATATAAAAAGAGCTTACCAAATAAGTCTTAAGTAAGCTGTTTACCCAAAACCACCCTTAATACTTTAGTATTCACTACCTATGCCTATCCCTTTCATTTTTCTCCTCTCAGCAGGGCAGTCCTACTCAGAAAGAAAGGACAAATATTATACTGTAAAAAGAAATTGAAATTACAGAAAGCCTTTGGATAAGTAAGACAGTCATCTAACAATAAAAGACAAATGAATTTCCTTAATTGTAACCAACTTTTCTTCAACCTTTTTCCCATGAAAAAGACAATCGACGAACAGTCAAGTAATTACAAACAATGCACCAAACTAACACGAATAAGATTAGATCCAATCATCCAAATTTTCATACAAGGCCAACATAAAAACTCTCACTCATAAAACGCAGCAGAGCAAAAGTGAAAAGCTACAACACCTATCACCATTTCGATTTTTAAAAACAACTTTCTACTAAATTAGGCCAAAAAAATATGAAGATTTCAGGAAAAAAATAATAGTAAGAGCTTAAGATGCTAACCAGCTTTGAACAGCATATATCTTAAAAAGAACCATTACCAAACGTCCCATCAGAATTTATTTAAAAAATAAACAAACTTTTTATAGTGAGTCACCTTTGGTTCCTTCACGAAGGGCCTTTGCAACACGAAGTGGCGTTTTTCTAAGACCTTCTCTGTTTACATCTTCTCCTAGACCCTCCAACAAAACCTTTACAGCATCTTCAATGGCACCGCTCTTCCCCTCTTCTTCGAAACCCACTTCACCACAACCAATGTTCACACCATTTTCAAGCTCAACAGCGAATCGCCCATCATCCAAACAGCCCATTGAAATCCCACAGAGAACCCAAAAAACCAAACACAAAAGCTCTCAACTTTTCAACAAAAAAGCCAAATCTTGAAACAACCCAGTTGGTAACTTTGCAGAAAGAGTTGAGCAGGGCGATAAACACCCCACAACAAATTATGGGTCGATCGAAACAAGATGCAGATCTCAATAAACAACAGAAAAAGTTGTTAAATTCACAAATCAGAGTGGAAAAATAAGGAATGAAGATGGGAATGCGAAAGGACGGGTGTCAGACAATGCAGATGACGATTTGATTCAAAGAGGAAAGCATAACCAACCATGAAGTAATGAAGCGTGTAATAAGAAAATAAATAAATATATAAATAAATAAGAGAGGTCAAGAAAAAAGGAATAAAAAATCGGAATGGGTTGGTGAATTTGAGTTGGTGGATCTTGGCTCTTGGGTTAGGCTGCTGCAAATTAAAATAATATTTTCTTCTTTTAATGCGTGTCTTTGCACACAATAAATGAGTTCTTATATATTTTTAAATATTTTATAAAGTAAAATCTAGGTACTCTTAGTAACGGAGAAGATTTAGTACCCTCCCTTAAATAATAGCTATCATTAATTTTATATTAACATATAATAAGGTTGGTGATTTAATTAAAAAAATATTAATACATTTTACTATTTAAGACACTAGATGAATAACAAATGTTGAGATCTAGTAAGAGTATTATCAGAAGATTTAAAATTTTTATGATAAAATATATTTATACAAGATTTTATTGACACTAATAAAATATTATAAAATTGAATACATAGATAATATCATATCAATTTTTTATACAAAATAAGTAAATAATTTGTCAAAATTATTTATCAAATTAGTAATTTATGTATTTAAATGAATAATTTTTTTATTGTGTGTAAAGATACATACTTTAAAATTTGTATAGTAAATATTAATTTTTAATAAAAAATATTTGTTTATTAATTAGTGGATTTAAATAGCAATGTTTATGTATTAAAATTAGAAGAAGATAAAAAGTGCATGGTCGGGTAGGGTAGTGTGCCTGAGGAATGAGAATGGGAAGAGCAAGTTGTTGAGTACATCTAATTCTGAACGAGAGGCTGAGGCTTCCCACGTTCAAAAGAGGAAAAGAAAGTGAGGTTCTTTTCTCCACAACACCCGTCCTTTTCGTTATCTCTCTTGTGCTCAGAGTTACGTTATTTAACCAATCGTCAACAAAGTACTTCGTTCCAGTCAAAGTTGCGAATTTTGTAAAGTGCTCTCTTACAAGGACTTCGCAGAGGTAAATCCTTGAGTTTTTCTTTTTTAAATAATTATTAAAATAATATTACTTCATCCTTAAAAATATGAAACTTATTTTTTTATTTTTTAAAAATTTTATGTACACAAGAGACAATCATGTTTTAAAATCTCATGCAGTTTTGTTGTTTTAATATATAAAAAGTATTTTTTAAAATTAATAATAATAACGTACAAATTCTAACCACAAGACTTAGTTCAGTGAATAGTTTGTCCTCTTTCTTGGAAGAAAGAAGTTTGTTTCCAATTTATTATTAATTTTAATAAAATAAAAATGTAACTTATTATTAATTACATAAAATCATGTAAAAGATCCACATTTGTCTTAATTATGGATTTAGATAGATATAATATAATAAAAAATTAAAATAATAATAAATCAATACATAATTATTTAAAAAATAAATACACTATAAAGGAGTCTCTAATAGAAAGGAGATAAAAAAGTTCTTGATCTTGAAATATGCTCTCAAAACTTCAAAAGTCTTCAACGGCTTACCAAAATTAAGACGCCTAAGTCACAGCTTTAAGATTCTTTAAATAAGGTTTCAAAATCCTAAAGTTCTTATAAGTTTATTTCTCTTGGTAAAGAGTATGGTCGTGCATATGTTTAGAAGATTAGAGGCGTGCTAGCTAACGAAGTATAGGCATTCTTGTTGCAACGTGACTCTATTTTTTTTTTTTTAATTTAGACTTAAAATACACTCAAGATTTAATTGTGACTTTCTCATGTTAAATTGTATAATTAATAAAAAAAAAAAGTAAATTTCTAATAAATAATGATCACACATACAGATATAGACTATAAAAATATGTCAAAATACAGAGTTATCAAAGTTTATGGATGCTTTTACCCGCACAGTTATAGACACGTAAGACTGAACACTTATTATTACACACAAAATTTGTTAACTTTTAATTTGTTCGTTCCATTTTCATATATATTAACATGAGTTAAGTCCGTTGACATGTATACTCAAGTTAAAACCCTTATATGTTTAGACAAGTTGCATTATTATTATTAATTTTAAAAAAATAGTTTCATATACAAAATTGTTTGAGATTTTAACATATGTCGTGATTTCTTAAATTTCGTGTCTCTAATATACGAAACTCCTTAAAAAAAATAATTATCTCTCTCATGTGTGAAACTCTTTTTAAAAAAAAATAAGTTTCACAATTCTAAAGTGCAAAACTTATAGTTACAAGATAGGAAAAAAATTTCAACCAAAGAATTTGTTTTAAAACTTCCACCTTCAGTTTTTATATATGTTATTTTCAACTTCTTCTTCACATTTCTTTTTCTCTGTTCTTGCATGCCATTTCCATTTTTTATAAATTCATCCTTGATTAAATATTTGTAGGCGACGAGAGCAAATTTACTTTATTCTTATTTTACGGGTACTCTCGTATTTGATCTTGATATAAATATTGTATTTGCCCCGTACTCCAATTATAGACAAAGGTTTAAGGGTTGCTCTAAAGGTGATCTATGGTACAATTGAACAAAACCCGAACATACAACATTAACCCATCCAAATTTTATAATTATTTGTAGTCCAAAAGCCATACATGACATATTGTTGCCATATAAGTCTGGATAAATGTCAATTCCTACCTGAATAATGTTAAGCTATGTTAGAGGACCACTTTTGAATAAAAATTTTAGACAAACTATACTACTTTAGTTCAATTATTGATTATACACAATAATTGATATACTTGCTCCTTTATACATCGTATTTGAATTATGTCAGAGGTAACAACACAATGGTAAAGGTCAATTTCCAAAAAACAATGCAATTTTTCTAATTGTAATTTTGAAGGATTATTGCTCATTTATCACTTTATTTTTTTTTCATGTGAATAGGTATTTTTCTTGTTGGACATCCTTTGGTGAAATTGCAAACCTTAAAAGCATTGCCAACATATGATGGTTTATTGTGTCTATTAGAAAAGTTGGGTTAATCTTACAAAATATTAATACTAATAATAAATAAATAATAAGTTAATTTTGAGTGTGTATTTTATGTTAAAAATATTTTAGTTAAAGAATATTCATAAGTAAAAATAATTTTGTCAACAAAAAATGATAAAAATTCTTTGAAATTATAAAGTTGACATAATAATATAAAAGAGAAATATTAGAGCATTAGACACTATATTAACTTATGTCAATTCTCACTTGCTCCAAGAGAAAGAAAAAATAAAAATAAAATAAAATAAAAATTATGACTACCTTTTGCTTCTCATTTTTTTAAAAATTATGCATATATATGTGTGTGTGTGAGAGAGAGAAATTCAAATAAAATTGAGTATTTACAATCTTCAAGTTGGATAACACTATAGTATACAAAGTTATTCTTTCAAGTATTTAATAGAATTGCATTCATTGAAACTCAAATCCGATACCACAAGTTAAGCTTAAACAACTCGTTAGCAATTGATTCATGTGCTTGGTAGTAAAGATTAAAAGTACTAAGTTTACAAAAACTTTTTTAAGAAGAGAGAAAATATATTTAAGCCAATAATATATTTTATCTATGTTTGCAAGATGATTTTGTCTAAAAATTTGATTTTTGACTGGATTTAATAACATTGTGTGATCTATATAAATGGCCTTATTTAATAAAATAAAGTTGGGTTGTTGTTGTTTGCAATATGGTCTTTCAAGTGAGTGGATTAAAGTAAATCTTGATAATTTGTTAGGGTAAAAGGAAAGGAAAAAAAAGAAGAAGAATAACAATGTATTTTTTATTTTATTTAATTGAAGAGAAATAAGAGAGAAAAGAGACAAGTTAACTTTTGAAAACAAAATTTTAAAATTTTCTTTCCAAGTAAACCTACAAATTAGTCTTTTAAATAATAGCAATTGTACATATTAGTTTCTTACTTATTTAAATTGTTTTGTTAGCCCTTTACGTAGTAAGTCATCGGTCAAACAGTTAAGTTTTTCTTTTTCATTAACAAATACTTAAAAAAAAAATCTTATTTTGCCATTAAGTAACACTTAAATTCTAAAATGACACAATTTCATACCTCCTTCACTCTCTCCCCCTTTCTCTCTTCCCCTTCCCTCAAAGTCACGTTGCTCACGGTGATCGATGTTCTCAAACACCCTACCACTTCTCTCTCTTTTTATCGCTTTCATTGGAGCAACATAATTGTAACTTAGTCCATATTAATAGTTTGTGATTCTGTCCCATAACCTTCTCTCTCTCTCTCTTTATTTCCATCATATTCCTCAACTACCATTAAGACCTAAAATATAAGAATCTCATATGCCTGGTACGAGCTCGCAAATTGTAGGCTAAAGATATTGTTCTTGTCATCCTTCTTAACCCGTAATTGCTAAGAGCTCATAAATCATAGGCCAAAGTCATTGTCTCTGTCATCCTCCTCAACCCCTCCACCACTAGTTCAATGCACATGACTCACACCACCACAAATGGAACACACACAAATCAACCATGAACCATAGTAAGTCTCCTTCTTCCTTGGACATGAACCTATAAACTAGCCATGAACTGCTATTGAAGAAAGGAAGGGAGAGTTATAGTAGTGGCTCAAATCTATTGTGTTAAACAATGTTGTTTTAATATCTACATGTCACTTAATAATAAAAGTTATCATTTTTCAGTCATTAGTTAATGTGAGGACCTCTAACTTCCTAACAATTTATTGTGTAAGAGGCTACCTAAACAATTTAAATAAGTAAGGAATTAATATGCATGACCACTACTATCTAAGGGAACAATTTGTAGATTTACTCTTTTCTTTTCTCTTATTTTTTCTTCAATTTAAATTTTAAACAATTTTTTTTCTTCTTATTTTCTTTTCATAGAAACAAACAATTTGTAAGAGTGCTTATAAAAGGCAATCAAAACTTTAATCATAAGTTGGTCATCTAAGTGGTGGAGGAATAATTGTTCATTTCTAAGTTGTGAAGAAGGTGTGGTTACCAAGAAAAGAAAATGATTTATCTTTTTCAATGCAACATTGAAAAAGATGTCTTGTGCTTTCTTACTAATAACAACTAGTCACTTGTTATTTCACTATTTTGTTTTGCATCATTCTAAACATTTTAAATTACTATTCAAGTTTAACATATTTCAACTATATTGTTCAAGTTCACAAGGGAGGAGATGCAAATTTTATATCATCATTAGTTTTATT